TTGGGAGTGAGGGCACGAGAGGGGTGGGGGGCTGGTGGGTTGGGAGTGAGGGGAACTGGCAGTGCCAAAGGGCTGCAGGTTAGGAATGAGGGGCACCAGCACAGCCAGGTAGGGGGGTGAAGGACTGTGGGTTGGGAGTGAGGGGCAGCAGCAGAGATGGGGGGCTGCAGATTGGGAGTGAGGGGCATCGGCAGGGCCAAGGGGCTGTGGGTTGGGAGTGAGGTTTCCCACCAACAGGTGTCCCCTTTTTCAGAATTGGAAATACAGTAACCCTAGCTTTAGTTAAAGTGCCCCCACTGTCATTTTTCAGTGTGGGGATGCTGATGCATGTGATACTGGAGTCTGCTGGAGCGCAGTTAATTACCATGCTCCAGCAGACGCAATTAATTGAGTCTTCTCCAACGTGCTGTAATTACTGCACACTGGAACTGTCTCTCTGCATGTGTACAGGTGCCTCTCGTGTTCAGGCCACCTTTTTCATTAAAAGAAATATCTTCTCTTGATGCTTCTATCCAACTCACATGAGTGTTTATTGGTCATGCTGGTGAGAACGTCCCCTCAATTCTCTTTAATACAGTCACCAGCTCAATTCTTAGTTTGGCTAACATACACTGAAATGGGAAAAAAATGGTCAAAATAAAATTATGATATACATCGTTGATCTTGCTCTGAACATTAGTTTATGGTTCAGGAGTTCTGTTGACTTTGACACTTGAAACTGATTGCTTTTTTGCTGGCTAGTCTTTTTTTCTGGTACGCTAATTTTTTATCACAAGCCCAAAGAATACATTCAAATTCAGCATAAAAATAGAACCTGCTTGGCTCGTGATTCAATATTTCTCATGGACTGAGAGGTATTTTTTCTGGAAAAGCGTAAAGGGGATTACTTAATACACATCTCCAGTGATTTTTTGTTTATTCTTACCTATATATCATATTTTTTTCAAAAGACTAGCATTACAAAGACAACAGCATGCACCGGCAGTGCTCATCTCAGTTTTTGATATAGTATGAGTAACACTGTGTTATTTTAGATACAACCAGGGGATAATTGTTTTTAAATGTTATTTTTCTAATGGCAGCCACTGTAGGAACTGAACTATAATAAAGCAAATATATATAAGATCAAGATATAAATGCAAAATAAAGTTATCAGTGGATAAATAAACATCATACTTAAGTAAGATTGACTCTAAACAACCATAAATGGATTACCATAAAAACTCTCATTCCTAGCTGATTACAGAAGGAATCTCACATTTTAACATAAATTTGAAAGATACCACACCCACATATCATTTTGAATAGATAAAAGTTATGAAGAGAAAGCTCTCAAGAGGGGACAGCTGTTCTCAGGTAATTAGCTAGTAATGAAAGAAAGGATATTAATATCAATAGCTTACATTTGTCTAAAGCCAATACTATTTTGCAGACTCCATTGTCATTATCTATATTATTGTAACGTCAATATATGCAATGCAAACAGTTTAAATTTTAAAGGCATTTTTAGATTGGATTTCCTGCACAGTGATCATAAATCTAGAACAGGAAGCTTGCAATAGTTAAAGTCACATATTTATAAAATCATATTCAATTAGGTTAGAAAAGTGCAATTTCTGTCATCATGTCATAAAAAGATGTGTTTTTCTCTCAGATCTACTATAAAGAAAAGCTCCCTATATTGTTACAGATAGAGGCTGTTTTCAATCAGTTACAAGGAACAATCCAATTACTAGATGGTTTAGTGCAGTAACTGACTCCAGACTAATTTAATTTCTTTAAGTCTCTAAAGATCAATTGATTTGATTTTTTTCCCCCTCCCTAAAGGCTGTTTAAGAAAAAAGCAGACTTAAATACCTGGAAATGAAATCCAAGCTTTGTTCACTTTCACACTCCTTAAGTCATTCTGAAAACTTGCAACTCATGATGAATGGGTGCTCTCTCGAGATTTTTCACCAATTAGAAATCATTAAGACCACTGTGCAACATTTCAGATGATCAGTGCATGTAGACAGCATACGCGGCTGCTATACATGGCTTTATAGTCCATTGCATGGGATCACAGGATCTAATTTTTCTTATTTCTTTTGCTTTCTGTCCAATTGATTTTATCATCATAGCTGGCGCAAGCAATAGTTTTTATAAAAACATACCATCCCCTGGCAGCAGATATACAATTCAGAGAAGCAACATCAGCATTATTTTCATATTTTAAGGTTCTAGAATATTTTAATGTCTGAATAGAATAAAACCTTCATGTCCCTGACTATTGTCATATAACTGAAGATAGAAACACTAAAAAGAAGAAATGATCCAGTCTCATATCAGCACACTTCTGACTCACAATTTTACTATGTTGTTACTTGATGTGATGTTCAACTGTTCCATTTAAAAAAAAAACAAGCCATGGTCCCCTAACTAGAGAGGATCTTTCCCTTTTGATTCAAAACAGATCTAAGCCACTTTTGTTCAAGTAAAAAAAATCAGGACCCTCATGCCTTTTAAAATTCAGTTTCTTGTATTGATATTATTGTTATGATTTTCATGCCTTTTAAAATTCAGTTTCTTGTATTGATATTATTGTTTTATGCGTGGATATATGATGGAAACACTCATGCCTGACCAAGACAGTTTATGCTTAGCATTTCTGATTGCACGCCATGTGCTGTTATAATAAGATGCCTTTTGGAAAACTCTAAAATGTCATCTCTAGAATCACAATTACTTTGTGTGTATGGAAGCATCTGAGATTTTTCTGTTGTCTGCTCATTCACACTTACTTTCTCAAACTCCTGTAAGGCCAGTTATTTTATGGCCCCATCTGAGGTTATCAGGGTTTTGTTTTGTTTTTGGTTTTTTTTTCCAATCAGGGCTTCTTCTCTACCCACAGCTCCTAGCTTGCACTCTTTATTGTGATTTGGTCCCTGCAGTTTTTACCTTTGTATTCTGTCCATGGTATGCTTTTTCGTTGGATTTATTTCTGTTTTCCATTGCTTACAAAGGTGTTGAACTGGGAAGCTGTTGGCACTAGCCTGGCAAATATTCATTCTATTTTGCAAAGCTGATTCTGTTCTTTGACTCTATTATCCATTTGCCACTAATAATCCACTCTCTAATTTGTCCAGCTGTTAACTGTTTAAAACCACGACTTAAATTACATACCTGTGTAACAAAGCTAACAGTCAATAGACTTGCCTGTGCCAATTGCTTCTTTAAAAAAAAACTAAGTCTTTTCCAACCAATACTCTTGTTGGGATCAAAGTATTCTTGAAATTTTGTAATGACTTCACATATCAGTCTACAATCAATCCCCTTATTCCAGACTATCAATGCATGTAGATATTATCTTAGATGGAAGAGTATTGCATCACCCCAATTCCTCTTTCAGTGTCACATACTTGCAGGAAAATTAGGAAGTGCTGTAATCACTCCCTTCAGATTCCCTTACAGATTCTCTTACAAAAATGATTTGCTCTGTACTTGCAAAGATATAACTTACATCTGATGCAGTGTCATACTGATGTGACACACACAAGTACTGCTAGAAGACTGACCTTTATTTCCCCATTCTCTTGTATAGCTCTGGATACATACCCCTCTTACTATGGCTAAATAGCCCGCTACTTAATTTGTGGGGTAATATCCCTCTCACCATGGGCACCAACTTAGTAGTAGTTTCCAAACATACTCTTCTCCTAATTAAATCAGTACTGCAGTTTAATTTCAATTAAACAAAACTGGCATCTCTACATTACAGTGGGGATTATGGATTTAGACTGATGGCACTACTTGCTGACCTCATTGTCTAGGACTTCTAAAAGTGGTCACATTTAAAGTATGCCAAGAGCCAGGAGACAAAGCAGCAGAAACTTTCATTCAGCTTGAACAATACATTTACCTTATGTTCCTCCCACTATCTGGAACAGTGGAGAATCAGAAGGAGGGTTTTTTTGCAATACCTTACTTCACATTTCCCAGAGAGCCAAATCTTTGTTTCCAGTAGAACTGAATGACATGATAAGGTAGGAAAAAAAGAAAAGCTTTGCTTGCTGCAGCTTAAAAAAATGTGAAGCTGTTAAAATGACGCCTTTCTTCCCCCTCTCCTCCTCCCTGGTCTCTGCCATTAAGGAACCACAGAAGGAAGATGAATCTATTAGATTCCAGTGGAGCAGATGTCAAGACTCAAAACAGCTCTGTCTTCATAAGGTTTATAAGTATTTTTAAAGGAGGTTGAGGAGACTTGCTATATGCAACAAGATAACATTAAAATGCACAGCTTCCCAGGAGTTGAAAGGATGCTTTTCCTACAAACTCTCTCTTCCCTTTATCTTATCTGCATGGAAAGTAAACAGAAAGTCCCCATTACCTCTCGATATCAGTGAGTCTGGAAGAGTCCCGGAATCCTTTAGCAAAAGGGTTGCTGTCAATTTTCAGCTTGGTTATCTGGAAACACAGAAAAAAGAGTAATACAACATGATCGTGGTGCTTGGCTGTTGCAGGATACACAAGTTAACCAGTCCATCCTCAGTTTCAGATGGTTCAAACAAGTGTGGGATCTCTCATATAACTACTCATTTGGCACTACCAGCTACAAAATGCAAGAGTCAAGATTCTCCTCTCGCACCGATGTAAATCAGGAGTAAGTCCACTGCATAGAGTTCGGCTGGGGTAAACCTGGTGTAGGTGAGAGGAAAGATCAAAATTCCTTTTTGCTGTTTCTCCTACAGTCCTGTGTCATGACAGCTGAAGAGGCAGGGCTAACAGGGAATTAGGAGAATAGCGTATTGAGGTTTGCTCATAAACAAGAGCACAAAGAACCATCAGGGCCTCAAGTTATTGCCTCTTAAAGCAGTCTCTAGCAGCAAAAAAGGGCCATATTCCCCTCCATGTAGAACTGAGATGTGAGTAGTAAGAAACATCACAATAATACCTAGTTGGTAGGGCCCCACAACCTGGTGGGCACCGTGTGCGAAGATTTTAACTCACTGCCTCAAGCAGCCCCAACATTGATTACCATGGTGCAGTTATTCAAAGCAGGTTTAATTAACTGCACACTGAGCACACAGACACACAACATGATTATTATACAATAATTTACTCTGAATTTTACTCCATTGTTAGTTTATTTAGGAGTGGAAACACAACCAGCTCTTCCCAGCTGGCAACCTGAAGTAGGCACTATCAAGAGTGTCTGGCCACTAGGTTGTAGATAACACACAAAGACATGCACTAATGTAAAAGTTATTCTGACAGCATTTCCTTGCAATATTTCTGTGCATCATATGTCCACTTCATTTTTTTCTCTGGAGTAAATTGAGAATACTCTGAAGTAATCGAGTCATGTGTCTGTCCCTTGAGGCAGCACAACTGCTTTGTACTGTTAAGTGAAAAATGCTAAAACAAGATTTCAAATGAGAAGGTTGAATGAAAACGTCACTGTCCAAAAGCAATTACAAACCTAAGAGATCAGACATCTTACAACTAAAACTTAATTTCTTTCTTCAAATGTAGCTACAAGATGGAATAGGGGCAGCCTTTCCTTTGTTTAAGAGGTATATACAAGGAAAATTTCTTTGGATACCTCACTTATTAATGTCTTGGTCCTGAGATCCTAGCATTCAAGACCAGGCCTTATCCCAGGGGTGGGCAAAATGGAGGATCCAGCTGGCCACTGGACTCCATTTCCCAGCTGCCCCTGCCCACCACTGCAGCTGGTAGACAGGGCCAGGGTTTCCATGGAGACCAGCCCCAGCAGAGCTGGCAGGGTGAACGGCCAGGCAGGTAGCTGTTCTGCAGCCGGGACTGGGATCTTGCAGTGGTGACAGCATGGTTGGGACCTGGAGCAGAGTCGCGATCTGCTGCCTGCACATCCCTGCCCAGGGTGGGTGGGCAACAGATACCGGCTCTGCCCTAGCTCCAGACCATGCTGTCACTACTGCAAAATCCCAGGCCTGGAGCAGCTCCCTGCCCTGCCCTGTGCCCTACCAGCTTTGCTGGAGCTGGTTTCCATAGAAACCCTAGCCCCACACTGTCATGGGACTGCCACTCCTGGGGTCTCCCTGGAAACTGGCCAGAGTGATGTGGGCAGGGGCTGCTGGGAAATGGAGTCCACTATGGGCCTGATGCAGCCTGCAAACCAGACTTTGCCCACCCTTGCCTTATCCACATACAGAAAATTAACCACCTCTATAATCATTACAGGTATTACAAGCAAAGAGAGAGAAACCCAGAAAATACAAAAGGCAATACCCCATAGGTAGGAACTTTGCTTCAGAAGAGACTGTAGGGGGAGTAAAAATAATTTGCACTTATTGCCATTTAATGTAATAAAAGCTCATCTCCAAGCTCTTTAATGATATGCTGATTCAAGAGTGAAAGAATGTAATGTAGGCAGATGCTTCTGTTATTTTCTGCCAAAAATGTCCCATGTAAAGCCATGTGTATTTATATTAGTGCCAGATAATAATAAGTGTGGCTGTATGGGTAGAGGGGTAGGGAAGAGGGTAGATCAGGGGTGCTTTTTTGGGCAAGATAATTTAGTTCATAAAGGAAAAACTCCAATCGTCTTAAAAATTCTCCCTACTGATACCAGAGATGAAATTTTGCTTCAACTGCGTTTACTTGAGTTACATTATTCAGTGAACATTTTCACCTGATACCTTTCTGCCAGTGGAGACATCGTAAAGAATACTTTGTGTATCCATCAACCCTTGATTGCCATGGTTTCTCTTGGTTTTATAATTGATGTACAGTTGCTTCACATATACTTTGGGAAAAAGACCCCATCATATTTGCCATACTCAAAGCATCGAGTTGCCTCATTAGAAGTCAGATTTGGTGCTGAAAGTGTGGAAAGCTCTAATAAAACTCAGATTTCCCAAACTTTATGCCCAGCAGAATTAAAAGGCTCCCAATGCACCACGCTCCTGAAAGGAGGTGGGCTCTGTTGACTCCAGGTGATGTCAGGGAAAAGTCCAAGGCACTCAAGACCTAAGGGGTAAACAGAGGCTGGAACCTATGAGGAACTATTCAGCCATTTCATACTTCATAAGGCATTTGTTATCACTGCCTTAATTCTAGGAGCTTTCCTTCAAGAAAAAAAAAAAGATCATTTACAGAGATCTTGATGTGCAGGTGCCCTTATGAGACAAAGGTATTTTAGCACTGGATGACCCCCTCCACAGACAATTAAGGTTACATCCAAATCTCTCTCTCGATTTGGAAAAAACTGGCTCCCTGGGAAGGCAGTCAGCAGAATAGGGAGGGAGACTTATGAGAACTAAAGCAAACAAAGCAGCACTGATTCCTTAAGCTGCTGTCTACATTTTATGAACAAGAAGTCTGATTACAACAAGGGTGGGAGTGAAGCAAAGAGGCAGCCTAGTCTAACAAATGGTCCACTGGACTGAAATTTGTGTGAAAATGTGGGTCCACTGAGGTCAATAGCAATACCACTATTCATTACAATGGGGCCAAGATTTCAATCCTGGTTTTTATTCTGGCTACTGACTAGCCACATGATCCTTGGAAAATCACTCCATCTCACTGTTGTCATTTTCCTTTGCTGCTTTCACTTTCTTTCCCTCACTCATCCAGCCCACGCACTGGAAAGGTTGAGAACCCCTGGTTTAAAGCCAGAAAGACAGCCACTGCCCAAATAGCTGATTATGGGCATTTACATTAGAGAAGACACACTGGCAGGTGGTTAAAAAAGCTTATTTGAGCACAGAGGGGCACTAGAGAGTATGTGTGTGATGGGTGAAGATGCTGGGCAGTAGCATAACTAGAGTGGGGTAAGCAGGGCACCTGCCCCAGGCACCAGGTAGGAGGGGGTGCAAGTATTCCTTGCATTGGGAGTCTATGCCACAGCAAAAGAAGCTCTGCACTGCCCCTGCCTGCCCATAGGAGCACTATAATAATAATACATGAAAGATAACAGTTATCCTAAATGTACAGATTTAAGCAAGTCATTACAGACAAGTTCTGCACCCACTAAAGTCAATAGTAAAACTCCCATTGTCATTAATAATACAGAATCAGCTTCCTAAACCTTCTGCACACTTACTCCACAATGAATTGCAGGTAGGTCATCTGGAAGAAACAATTAGCTAATGGACCAAACTAGTGATTTGACTTTAGTTTGGTTCAATGTTTGAAAACTGCCTTTAAAAAAGTTCTAAGTATTATTACTTAGATCACTGAAGAAACAATACCCAACTCTGCTGCAGAATAAAAAGATTTCTAGGCATTCCCTAAGGAAGATCTACTTAGGTATATTTTTGCCTGTCAAATCGCCATTTTTCTAACAGCTATGACCTGGTGTGACATCACAAGTGAAACTTATTCTAGCTGCCAACATCCGATAAGACTCACAACCATTTATGATGTCATGTAGAGACAATATATATCCTCACAGACGGTCTCAGAAACAAGCAGAGAACATCTGCTACAAAGCATTTTAAAATGAAATTTGACCTACAATTCAACTCTGTAGCAGTGGTTTGATTGTTTAAATAAATGCATGCCCTTTAAATCTTAAATTATGAGATAGTTTGTTGAAAGTGTAATCTTTTTAGCTTTTATCTAATAACCTGCAGAAATGTAATCAGCCCTCTTAAAACAGCACTGAAAGAAATGGCAAAAATGAAAAAAAAGATTCCATTTTCATTAGTCATAAATAACAGGACCGCATGGACCCTGAGGGTCTCCAGAGAAGCAAGACTGAGAAATTTTGCAGTCATCATTGATATACTCAGGCAAGTTTTGCTTAGAAATAGCTGTGATCTAATATATCATTGATAAGTGCAAACTTGTATTGTATAGTTTATTGCACAGAAATAAATTCTGGGTTTAAATTGGATATTTTTATTTTCCTCATCCGCATAGACAGTTCAGGGAATACTCTTTTTCTAGACATATTTATTACCTATATTTTATTAAGATTACCACACGGCTAACTCTTTTTCTTTCTTTCTTTTTTTTTTTTTTGATATTCAATTATAAGCCTGAGTTTATTGGGAGCTTTTTCAGCTACAAACCGCTATAGGGCATGTCATAAATAAGATCAAATCCTAGCACTATGGAGGAAAGTATTTTTAAAACAGTAAGTCAAACTAAATGACTTAATGTTCCCTTTGGCTTTAAAATCTATGAAATACGGTCAAAACATATATCTAAGGCAGATCTATTCCACAGTTCATATCCTACCAAAATTTAGTTACAATGCTGAATACGTATAATATTCAATACTTTCATTCCATTTATGGGATCTGAAATTAATACTTTTTTTGTGCTTTGTGTTATCTGAGGTGTTAAGAAATGCTATACATTTTATACCTAGAGAAGCAAATATTCTGAGGGATAAACACCTATGGGACCACACCTCCCCAGATGTTCGGATCCTATTCAGCCCTTTTCTGATAGAAACCTTTTTTAACATATGAATAAAAAAGAGACACCCTCGAAAGTGTAACATTAATCTCTTAGGATGGACTACAAAGCCCACTTAAGCCAACTGGAGTCTTTTCACTGACTAAAGTACTAAAGGCCTTACTCAATGCCCACTGAAGTGTTCATCACCCAATGGTCTACAGATTTTCTAAAGTTACTTATTAGAAACGCATCTGATGTTAAAAGTGGAATCCATCACTAATGACTGTGTTTATGGGGACTGTTATTCATTTGCACATTAATTTGAAATTCAAATATTTACAGTGAAATGTAAAAAGCAGATTTGTGGGTTATTTCCCTCACACCTTGGCTTCATGGTTTAATGAATCAGCCTTCAAAGTACATTCTGTCATCGGGTTTGGGCCACAGACATTTAAATTGATACCTCTCAGCATGTCAGATTATTGGAAATTAGAGCAGCTTCGTGTTGAAATAAGCAGAGGGTTAACTTGAAGAGGAATAAACAATAATACACAATGTTACTATAAAGAAAACATCTGGGCTCATTCCCCAAACCCTTACTCATGTGATAGCCCTTATCATTTTCCAATGAGAAGTTCCATTTAAATTAATTAGTCTTGAATGTAAGGTGAGCATGCAAGTATGTGTGTAAGGTCAAGAGTGGAAAGAGCACTTGAGAACAGTGTGATGGAACGTTATGTTACATCAAAGAAATTTCTATGCTAGATTTTAAAAGGGAGGAATTTATTAGCACAGAGAATTTTAGACAAATCAACAAGTTAGAAAAATAGTCTAGCAACACACTCACCAGTTGATTCTGATAGGCAGTGACAGCAGTGAAAACTGTCTCTGGGAAGATAAATGTCCGGAATTCTTCAGATTTCAGATTCAACAAAGATGCAGTGTGGTCCTTCTTCTTAATGATGTGCACCCTTGGTTGGTATTTATGCATGGAGTTCAAAATAATCTGAAGCAAAGAGTGACAAAAAGATGTCCTGAGATGAAGATTAAGATTACTGTGAACTAAACAAAATGTATCTGTAAATGGCAGGGCTTTGGGAATCTAGATGTACAGAGGCTGATTTTCCAAGACACTGAGCACGCACATCCCTCTGTAACTTCAGCGGGTGGTCACCTTTGAAAACCAGTTCCTAAAACAGAATGTTAATGAGATGGTTCCCCTTTGTTCATGTGTATGTTTGCATGTATCTAGTATGTACTTCCGAAGCATTAACATCTATTTATCCATGTGATGGATTTTACAGACACAAATGTTATCGTCTGTGCACAGAAGTATTTGAAGTTCTCAACCAAACATGCAGGTTTGAGTGCTTGCTTGGAAGGGTGTCCCCAGAGGCCAGTGCCTACAAAGTTATACTCCTACAAAATGAGACCTGCTGGGGCCCCTTCGGAAAAAAATTCAAGTTCTTGTTATTATACACAATGTATACACAGCATTACAAGAAGTCTATTCTGCATACTCAGGTAGCAGACCATGTTTGGACTGGCGGAGCTCTGAAGTAGGACTAGAGCTAGCTGAAGAATTCATCAGAAACAGTATTTGTTGTAATGCTCCCATTTTTCTTCATTAATAGTTTTTGTGAATAAGGACTTTTCCTAAACAAAACACACCAATTATTGGACTTCTTTTCCTGCTAAAGTGAAAGGATAGATTCCTATTGACTTAAAATGATATTAGACTATTTGACCACATCTAATCAAAATATTAGAATATAGTAAGTCTAGTGTAGAGCTAAGTTTGCACCATTTCTCATGTTAAATACAGTCACAGCCATGTAACTAATTTGGCAGTGGCGTGGGTGGTTCCAGGTATAACAAGATTAGTGGTAATTCTTTGCAGTAGTGGTTCTCAACCTTGTAAGCCTCAAGGCACCCTTTGGAAAATACCAATACTTAGCTCTCACTGGGGTTTTTTTTTTTTACTACAGAAAAATAATAGAGCAATTCCTTTGTTACGAAGAATGCAGAAAGACCACAACAGGTCAGAATGTTTTTGACACTATGGATTCCCATTTGAAATCTCTGGGTTTATCTTGTGTATCATGTGTAGGTGTCTGTACACCTATCAGTACTGAGCCTTTTGGATATCTGCTCTGAGACTTTTGTATAGGGTGGGATAAAATCTAATAAATAAATATATACATCCTATATTTACTCACCTGCTGCATCTTTCCTCCAGAAATTAGCCTTCCAAGATTGGGGTGCATGTCTTAATGGGGAATCTGATTTTCTGTGCAAAATAGCAGCAGTAGCATTTCTATTCAGCCTGTGCTGAGAGACTCATTTGACCTGAAGGACTCATGATTCATTATAATCTACTTGATTCCCGCTAATTGCTCTTTACTCCATGTGTGTTAATGACCCACTCTCCTTTTTAATTTTCTTGATGTTCTACTAATCGAGCTAGCCATTCTTCAACAATTTTGCTGAAGAATTTGCAATTTAGCTACTACTGATCTCTTCTGTTTCACAGCCCTGCAGACTGCAGACTATTTTTAGCTCTTTTCAACACCCTGGTTCTAGCTTTGGTGCCCAGTCTTTAGCAGAAGTTACAGTTTCAGGTTTTAGCTGAGCAACCAAGAGCTGGTAACTATTCAGCTGTGAAAGGGTTAAAACCATAGCTTTTTGCCTGAACCTGAAAAGGAGGGTGAGTGAGCTAAAGCAGAGGCTCTGTCCCTGCTGTCTGTGACCACAGTTCTGGAGGAATCTTTTTTTCTTCATTTGGCCTTCCCAAGAAACAAGGTGCATGTCTTATTTAGGGGTGTGTGACGTGAGAAAATCTGATAATTGAGTGCCTCCTCCCTGCTCCACAGCACCCTTCAAAAAAATTGCAGCAGTCCAGACTGCAGTGACAGCCTGGTTGAGAATCACTGCTTTATAAAATCATAAACAGCTACTCCACATTGCAGTATATTGCTACTCTACATTAACTCAAGATGAAATGCAAAGTTAGATATCGTAATCACGAAGTAAATAACACAGGTTGTATATTGCATCAGAGCCCTGCTCTGGCAATAGCTTTTCATGCAATGAACTCCCATTGTTCATTTTTTTTTCCTTCTTGTTTGAACCAGATTCTTTTCTGACCCACACATTCCTTTTCAGTGGGATTGAGTGCTTATACTGGAAGGCAGGACTGATCCCATTATCATCAGTATCATGAAAATGAGACAGAATTTTGAGATTCTTCGTAGCATGAAATCTTTTAACATTTCAGTACCCTACAGAAGTCACATCACTGGCTTCCACTCCATTTCTGGTGCACACTCAAGCTCCTCTTTTTCACAGACACTGGCACAATTACTTTCCTCCTCAGCTTCTCTGTCTTGCTGTTTCTTAATTTCCCTTCTGTCCCTACTTCTCTTGGGAGTACATCCTACTCCCAAGTGTCTATTTCACTGCTCTGTTGTTTTTTTTCACTTCTAAAATACTCACAGTTAATCCCATCAGGGCACAAAAACACCACCATCTGATTTATATCCCTACTCACAACCATGCACAAATAAGCCACAAAGTAAATGAAATCTGTGAAAAATGTTGCCAAAAATCTGGTAGTAAATTTTAGAAAAATCACAGCTTACTTAAAGATATTCTGCAAAAACAAATGTTAGGCAAGACTGTATGGATGCATTTCTTATAAACGGCTCACTTTCCCCTAAAGATTTCATCCAGAGTTCTATATGCATACTCCCAGTTTCTTTCTTCTGTTAATGATATCTATTCTCATACAGCAAGCTTTATGTTATGCACACAGTGATGAGACTCAATCTTACAGAAAATACGTGCATAATTATGTTACGCATATTGCTCTGGATACAGGAACAGTGAAACTTGCCAAGTCCAGAAGTCTTAGAGTAAGAGAAAATTTAAAAAAATGCTAAGCTAAAAACAGCCAGTCTCTTCTCTTCAGGGAGACTCCTCTTCAGAAAAAAAAAACATTTTACACGAACCACCATTACACTTTAACCACAAAATGTTTCTTTTGGAGGATGGAAAGAACACGTGATCATAGAATCATAGAGCAGTAGGGCTGGAAGAGACCTCCAGAGGTCATCTAGTTCAACCCCCTGAACAAACTGGCCAACATGTTGTACCTATAACTAAAATATTAAGACATTTTTAAGGTATTGACAGTTCCCCATAAAAACAAGAAATGAGAATAAGAACAAGTCAGAGAAAAGGGCAACTGTAAATTTAAGTTAATAAGATCCAGATAACTTAACTCTGCCTCTAGGGACCATGGTGTTCCTGAGCATTAAACACTATGAAATATCTTTTTCAAAGTCTTCAAAGAATGAATTTATTCCTTGTGTCTATACAACATGTAATGATGGCATTACCACAGTGTCAACATGGCAGCAATAGATACCAATATACTCTAATCATTAACATAAAAGGACACAAACTACTGGATTCTGCTCTTGCTGCTTCTTAGAAGACGCTACCAGGCAGTCTCATATGCTAAGATATAGACTGTATTTTTCTACCTTATGTACTGGCTGTCTGCAGTTATGACATCTTGTTCTGTAACAGGAATATTCCTGACACTCTCTAAGAGCTACTGGTTTTTTTTCTCTTTTTCAGACCCATCTGTCCTTCTGGGAAATGAACCCCTCTTTGCTGGTTCACAGTACATTGCTGCGAGTCATGCATTAGAGACACACATGGCCTGTTATGATGAAAAATGCTTTTTTAAAGCACACATACTTGTTTTGGAAACTTTACATGTATTGATCCTATCATCACTCGCATACTTTGCTTCCAGAGATCTGTTTCTGAAATATGAGTAAAATCACATTCTTTTGAGCCAGAATGGGGGGAAAGGGATTTAAGAAAAGCAGACCTACATACCAGATGTTTAGAAAAGAATAATGCATTGGCATCTGTGCTTTCCCTCTTTTTTTCAGGCAATATTTCCATTTAAAAGACTTTGCTCCAACCCTGAGGTCTTTAAATGAGAAAACTCTCAGTCATGTTGGAAATATTCTGATTGAACAATTCAGACAGATGGCAGCTATATCAAGCAGCCTGAAAAAAAACAGTAACTGACCCTCTGCATCTGTACCCTGTCCCTGGATTAAAGGTCAAAACCCTCCTGGACTTATTTATTAACATTGGATATGCAGCATAATACTTATATTGGAAACCCTCCCATCCTAAGCTTACTCCACAGATTTGATTTCCTTGAGTGTTCACTTAAGTCACTCAATTTTCAAAGTCCTAATCCTACAGCTCAGGTTTTCCCATGAAAACTGTCCCCATTACAGCATCACTGCTGAGCATCCCTCAGTTACGGGAGAGCCTACCTCCACATTCCTGTATCTTCCAGCTCCCTGCAAACAGAGGGCATTTATAGATGTGCTCCAGGAGGCAGGGGGAGCACTTTAAATAGCGCAGCTCCAACAGCCTCACTAATTAAAACACCCGGAGCGTCAGGTGTATCAATGTCCCTGCACTGAAAAATGGTAGCAGGGTGCTTTGGACTAAAGCTTGTTGAACAAGCTTTAGTTTAAAGCACCCTGCTGCCATTTTTCAGCATGGGGACGTTGATACACCTGACGCTGGAGCACAGTAATTACTACATTCCACCAGACCTGATTAATCTGTCTATGATTAATTGAATCGATTAATTGAGTCTGCTCCAAGGTGCTGTAATTACAGTGTGTTGGAGCAGCCTCCCTGCACATGTATAGGAGCCCAGGGTGTCTCATATCTCCCAGCAAGTCTGCCCCTCAGCCGCACGTTTTCAGTGCTTCAAGTACTTCTATGACTTAGGAGGAAAACCAGGAGTGGGTCAGAGCTGGGACTTGATCCTGTTTATCCTCAGCCTCACCCTGTGATTCCCTGTGTTTTATTTTTGTTTTGGTTGGTCTGGGCATTTTTTCCTATTGCACACAATTTGCCTTCAAGCCATTTTCTCTTTTCTAATGTTACACCCTTTGGTTTACTACTGGTTTAACCCTAAAATGCAGACCCTATACCCATTCCCCCTTGAGTCAGGGAGCAGAAGAATTATTCCTGATGGCTTCATCTCCAGCAGGTTGCTTAGGGTACTGACACCAAACTTAGCAAAGGGTATGTTCCTTGTATGTGACAAGGCACTGGCCAGTGTATAAGAGATGAGAGCTCTAGTCAGTGTGGGGGGCAAAGCAAAATAGAGATGGAAAAGTAGCCGAGAAATCCATGTCAGTCTTTTCCATTTCCCTTTAACCCTGGCTGTTACACCTGATTCAGGGTTGTATTCTGCCTCTTTGGTTGCAAAAAATGTTCTACTACTGACTGCAATAAGGGGAGGCAGAAAAACCTTCATGTTGACCTCATCTGTCCCATTAATATGTTACCACATCAGAACTACCATCATGTATCATTTAGAAACACAGGACTTTTTTTTAAAGAATGTGATGCCCAGGGAACTGGGTTTTCTGTTTCCTGCAGAAAAATGGGGAGGAAACATGGATTTTCCCTTTTAACTGAGAAAAACCATGGATTTTTCATTTTAAGGCAGAAACACGCAGATTTTCCACTTTTGCAAAGAGCTCTCTGCAGGTTGGCAGTGTTACAGCCTGCAAGGCGCTGTGGGGAGCAGGAGGAGGGTGGTCAGGCAGGGGGTGCCATGTGCATGTGCACTCTTACACATGCACATGGCAACCAGGCAGCCTAAAGGGCAGCTTCTGCAGGTAAGTCTGGAGGTGGGGGGGATTGAGGCCTCCAGAGGGTGTGAGCTGGGCAGGGCTAGCACTGGGGCTGCTGCTCAGGTGCCTGGGGCTTGGGCCCAAGGCCAGAATACATTGCTGCAGGGTCCCGGCAGGGAGTAGGATGGAGCTGTGGGCGACTTGTCTCTGGAGTGGGGTGGGGCTGGCTCCCTGTTGCTGCGTGCAGTCCCGGGAGGCCACAGGGAGCACATGCCCCCCCAATCTGTGCATGGGGCAGGCTGCCTTCTGCAGACACAGGCTCCCCACCCTACTGCCCTCCCTCTGGAGCTTCTGCAGTCCGGTGGGTGGGACCTGGCATGGCAGGGCAGAGTGGGGCCGGGCAGAGAAGCTCCTTGCTGCTGCAAGCCCCATGCTGCCCTGGCAAACCATTACCTGACCACCCAGCAGCAGCATGGACAGTGGCATGGAGTTGTGCCCCGGCTGCTGCCAGGCGACCAGGGGGCGTTCACCAGGGTGGCACGGAGCTCCCAGCGGTGGCAATGAGCTTCCCTGCACAGCCCGTTTTGCCCAGCCACTCTGGGTCAAGCCTGCTGGGCCACAGAGGCACCAGGGGGAAGGCAGCAGGGTGGGGAGCTCAAGTCTGCAGCTGGTGGCCCACACCCCCACAATGTGCTTTACTCCCGTTGTGCCACCTGCTGGGGAGGGGGAGCCAGACACTGCACTCTAGACCGCCACAGCAGCCACCACCTCCCGTCGGTAGCAACCAGGGTTCAGGTGCTGCTGGGGGTACAGGAGGCCGCAGACCTTGGTCCCTGGTCCCAAGGCCCTGGCATCTGGGGTCCCCTCCAGCAAGGCTGGGAGGGATGGGGGGGGGCTGTGGGAGGGGAGTGAGGGGCATCAGCAGGGCTGGGGGCTGTGGCTTGGGAGTGAGGGGCCTGGACCTGCGTCCTGGTGAGCAAAGGGGGCAGGGGGAGCTCTGATTTTTCCATGATAAAAAAACCCAAAATCAAATACCAATATTTATTTAGAATGTATTTTATTATAGTCACTGAGGCACCAGTAGGCTTCCAAATTGCTTTAATATTGTCACTATATCAATAAAACATTGTGGTCAACTGATACCTATATCTATAGTGGCATTTCATTTTAATAGTGGATTTTGGGTTTTTTTATCAGATAATTTGCAATTTTTTTTTTAATCCAAAGAAGTTACAATTTTTCAACAGAGAAAACCAGGATCGCTGGTGATGACTAATGTGAAATAGGCTTCTCCAAAAGGCAAACATAAAACTTATAATAGGGAGTTTCAGGGGGCTGTTTATGTATAAAAGAGACAAAAACCCAATACAAACTTCCTCACAAACCTTGGCCGCTGCACCTCCACTGTGACATGAACAGACCAGCTGGAAAAGTGATAGGTCAGGTCAGTCTTAGCACCTCTTCAGGCCTTTGCCATTGGGATTAAAGGGCCAACAAGTTTAGCGTTATTCTAAAGTCAGGTGAAGGCAGGGTAGATTTGCTTTTTGCATCTGATGACGTAAGCTGCTGTTCACGGAAAGCTTATGTATCTCTGCTTTGGTTAGTGTATAAGGTGCAAATCTACCCTGCTTTCTGCCTAACAAGTTTAGTGCCAGCTATTTTTAAAGATCTTTTACCCTTTTTCTACATAGGAAGCTACTTACATGTCCATGCTGATCCAGTTCATTGTTTGTTAGCTTGACTTTCTCAAAGGACACCATCTGCTTTAATAACTGTTCTCCTGTAAATGGAGAGTCAGGATGCACATACAACCTAAACAAATGAACAAGCACACAAATCTTACAGTCAGGTTTGTGTAACTATAGACTTTACCATAAAGCATTCAAACAAAATTAAGACATAATATTTTGTCTTCAAGACATCCAGTGGCTTCAGAGAGATGCATTTTCTCAGAGCTTAGAAAAACACAGATATGCACACAAAGCAAGAGAAGCAGGCTTCCCCTAAACTGGTGCCTACGTGCAAAATAACTTGTAACAAAAGAGAATAAAATACATGACTGAGATCTTCATCCACTGGAACATAATAAAGGATACTTTTTAGGCCCTCAGACTTCTTGGAGCATATTTTGATATGAATATCTGTAATTTTATCTAGTAAGCTGCTAATAATAATCTAAGATAGGGATATTAACTAAGCATTAAATTGTTGTATCTTTTCCCAAATGAAAAATTCCACTGAGCTGTGCTAACAAATACTTTAAAAAACAGTGACTCCAGCTCAAACAGAAACATAGTGTAGATAAAGACATAACCAGAGAATTCAGATAAAAATATATATTTTTTCTTATTAGTGTCATGAATTATTACAACCTTCATTAGATCACATGTTAATTGTGATGAGGATGTGTGTTTATAAGAAGTTGAAAACCAGCATGGTGGCTTGACATGAAAAGTCATTGCGTTTATGTAAATTAACAACTACTTTGTCAATTTGGCAGGATAGGATGGGGTAGCAGGATTATGCTGGAACTAGAATGATTTCAAGTATTAGATGCTTTAAATACAATATCTTCATATAAATAGTATACAATGATTTAACTTCAGATACTTAGTAGGTGTTAACTGATAAAGCCTATGCTTGTTAACTGCATCTATGGTTTTTGCTCATTCCCGTTGTTTAAGTTATTTGACTCCGACGATGGAATCCCCCACCACTAATTCTGTAGGTCAGGAAAAAATGCAAAGGGACCTGTTTTAGTGCATACCTCTTGCTTTGATATATGTTTGTGTCCCAGAAAGGAGCACTAATTGCTCATCACTGAATGGTGGGGCCTAAATATTTAAAGGAGGATGCGAGATAGGGGGAAAAGTTAATCATATTTGGGCTACATTCAGAGACTTTTACCAGCATAGTTATATATCTGTCAGGAGTTAGTGGAGATGTGATCCCTGATCAACATAGCTGAACTAGTAGGATTCCTTAGTGAAAGCAATGTTATATCACCCAAACTGGCCTTTTACTTGTATAGCTTGTTTCACTTCTTGGGATGAGTTTTACTGTATTAGTACAAATCACAGGTTTTCCATCCACTTTAGGAGTGTTTTGCTCATATGTTATGCTGATATTCATATGCTAGTAAAGTGCTTCTAATGTAGATATTGCCTCAGTGTTGTGGACTCATAATTTCATCATAAGACTTATCATATGGGGTGCTTTGCTTTAAAAAAAATCAGTTCCTGGAGTCACGTCATTTCCCCAAAAAACTCAGCTTTCATTGAAGCCTGCATGGCTGTGAAGAAAAGAATGAAAATGTGATCCCTAAGGCTCAGAAAGCAAAAGAATGAGAACATGAAATGCTATTGTTTAAAATGCCATTATTCTTAAGCAAATTCCATGCTTTCTGGAGGCTGGATAATAATTTTGGATGATTGGATTGGCAATACTGCAAGCCATAGCTATGGAGATTCGATCTTAAGAAGGTTTGGCTATTTGAAACCAAAGATATGCATTTTGAAAGTAAGTAGAGACCTTTCTGTACATAGCTACTGAGCACAATCACCATAAACTATATAAACACAATTAACTTTTGTCACAGTTAACAGGCTATAGATTAGATGAATGCTAACAATGAACAGGAAGCCATCTCCCTAAAGTATGACTTGCATACTTTAATGTGCAGTGCTGGACATGAAAGGGTGGTGGATTCTTCAGATATTTTTACTATGACACTCTAGATCTCAGCCACTTTTAGTATTACAACTCATAGATAACTCACAATTTTATCCTAATACATTTGCTATGTGTTAATGGATCCCACAGGAACATATGACTCCACATGTTTGAACTGCACACCTCTCCAATGGGCAAACCTTGTACACCAGAGAGATGAGAATTCCAGATTAAATATAGTTACCAGCTGGTGCACAGAGAACGGATGATCATGTGGATATGCATGAGCAAAAGGATTAGAGAAATAAACGTACACATTCCACTGCACAAAACTCCCACTGAAGTCAGCAAATGCTCAGCATGCCTAAGATCAGCAGGATGGTGAGAGGTTGTTCAGATCAATTTCCAAAGTTTTAGGAACAACATGCTGGTGGAAATTCATGATAAGTTATTTTGTGTTTAGACAAATATTCAAGGTTTTTGTTATTGCTTTCTTTTTGTATATTTGGCTTTTATTATATTTTCCTTTTGTTAACATTGGGACTAATCCTACAGGTCCCCAGAGCATGCAGCTTCTCATGGACTTAATTTATCATTCCATAGGCAGAAGGTTTGCACAACTGGGCTTAAACCGTAAGTCAAAAATACCTTCAAAAAGAGCAGCTTTCCTACAGTTGGCTACAAGAGTACAAATATTGTACTTTCATTATGCAGACCATTCTGGATTGGTTAGAATAGCTGAGTAAAGCAAAATCTTTTATCATTGCAAGGAGGCAGTTGAAAGACAGATAAAGAATAAGCATACGTGTCAGAACTTACAAAGCTAGTATTTCCTTGAAATATTTTCTGTAATTTGTAAGTCAGAAGAAACAAACAAAAAAAAATCACCATGTAAAATACTCTCTCTCAAAGCACTTTAGAAGATTTACAAATATTTTCTAAAAAGCCTTTTTATTCAGGTGATTGCATCAACATCAACTTGTTTTAAAGTTGACAGCAGAAAGACAAGGGTTTAATTGTTATTTGAACTGAAGATCCATGAAGGGATAAACTTTCAAATAACATCACATAATACTTGTTGATTTCAAGCACAGTTCTAATGTTGCAAGCTATTTTATAGAAGAACAAAGAAAAAGCCCTAGGGCCCTGATCCTGCAAAGACTTACATAGGTGCATAAATTCACTCCTGTGAATAATCCCATTGCCGTCACTGGGGCTATTTGAATGAGAAAAGTTATGTATGGTTTTCACAAGATCAGCACCTTAATGCCATAGGCCCCGATCCTGAAAACACTTACATACATGAAATAGCCTTGTGGATTCTATTCAAATGAGGAAAGGTAAAACCCAGACATGTTTGCTGCTCAGGATCTTAGAAATCGCATCTATGAAAATGTGACTGCTGTGTCCAGATCCTGAACACGTAACTTAAACATTATATTGACAGACACTAAACTTCAACTTAAGCAGTATCACTCCCTAAACAAATGGTTAGCATATGCACTCCAAAAGCAGTAGCTGAGTGTAACATAAAAACACCAGAACCCCAAAAACCTTTTATCCTCAGAAGAATATGCTCAGCAGAAAGACAGAAAAGGCATGTAAATGGTAAACAGCATTTACTGAAACGAAAACCCATGTATTAATACTTCTTTCTGATCAGCATTGTCTTAATTCAAAATGGTGAAAGTGAAGCAGAAATTGCCTTTTAGTATGTGTTTGAATTGTGCACAACGTATAGAGATGTTGGCCTGATTAAGACCACAGGGTACTACCACATACAAACTCTAAATGACAATAAAAATAATAAAAGTAATATAAGCATGACCCTAATCTCATCAAAAAATATAATAAGTATTTACTATTACCTTCAATGGAAGCAGGATCAGTATTTTCAATATTCAATATTCACATAATATATTCCTAAAATAATTTATTTTAAAAAGTACTTTATAAAAGATAGCTACAAAACTCACATATGGATTGGTGGCATATCCAAAGGCACTCAAAATGCACTAGGCATTTTACTTTGCCCTGAGATATCATCATTACCACCATTAATGTAGTAATAATAATACTAATAATACTACTATTATTAATATTAACCTGATTATCTGTACATTCTTGGGGACAAGAACTATTTTTTTCATTATGTTTGGATGTTGCTTAGCATACCAGGTAGCTGATCCAAATGACTCCCTTGGCACTATTGTAATATGAATAATAATAAGTACTTTTAATTTTTTTTTACTAAAGTGAAACAAATGTCAGAGCCACTGCCTGTAATAGAACCATGCCATCCACTATCCACTTTTTCATGTAAACAAGCCTTGAATTGCCAATCAGAGATCAGCAATCAGCAAGGCTATCACTTCAGTCAGACTACTCATATGTGCAAGGTGTGCAGGTTTTGGCTCCATAGTGGTACACAAGCAGATCCATCTATTTCTTTTGCATAACGTGTATCTGTCTTTGCAATATCCCAAGCCCTGACTCTGCTCTGAGAATCCTGCAGATATACCAAAGTGTATTTTTGGAACCTCAAATCTTCGGAAAGGTTTGTTATTAACATGGGAGTCTGCATGTTTTTCAGCACAGGATTGGGGGCTGAGGCTCTGATTCAGGAAGATCACGAGGCACGTGGTTTTCATTCAAGTCCATGAGACATAAGCATAAGCTTAAATCCTGTGCTGAATGTGATTGGAGTTCAGCATATGATTGCTAAATTAGCTGCTGAAGCCTTCCTATGTATCAAAGCAATTTAAATATATATAATCCGTGAGTTTACACCTGAAACCTTAACTGTAACAAGGGAATCATTTTAGAAGTGAATTGACTCTTGCACTTCAGGGGGTAAAAAAAGAGTTAACCTGTTTGACTTTATTTATTATTTCAAAGTTTCAAAAGTCCTACCTTTCCTGAAAAAAATAACCTTTTGTGTATGCTTGTGTGCACAGGCATGTATATGTATATACAACACATGTACATATGCCTACCATGAAGGAGAAAAGTATGGATCAATTATAAAATTGCTAGTTAGCAAACACTGAATATATTATTTGATCATCAATTAGAAAATAATGCCACTTACAGGATGAATGGCATCCAGCTGTAATTTAATATTTATACTGGCACTTAGAAAAAAGTGGCTAGCTTGCTTTAAATGGGAAAGAAACATAACAAAATAAGATTTTTTTATATATAAAATGTCCATCTCTGTGGATTGGCCCAACCATTTTCTACAGCTGATCCTAAAGCCAAAACCTGCTTGGTTTTGGAACCTGAAACCAGGGCAGGACACAGGTATGGGCAAACCGGGCGGCTGCCTGGGGCTTGGACAGAAAGGGGTCCCGAAAATGGAATTTTTGTTATTATTATTATCAATATCTCTGGTGAAGTGGGGCCCAATGCTAAAAGTTCTCCCAGGGCCGTCAGGAGTCTAGGTATGGTGCTGCCTGAAACACAGATCTGGGACTTGATCTTTCACTATTGAAATTAATCAGAATATTGCCACCAGTTTACAGACACTTCTGAAAAATCATTCCTCAGTTAAAAAAAACAAAACATTTTTTAAAATTATCTGTAAAATTCACAAACCTTGCAGGAAGTGGAGGGTCAGCTTTTCCAGCTACCAACCAGGAAGACCTGTGGTAGGCATATCTGTATCTTTTATTGTCCACTGGAACAATATCCATTAGCACGATGTACTTGGCTTCAGGATCCACTCCAGAAAAAGAAACCCTAATGGTAGGAAACATTCTCCTGAAACAGAGGCAAATTAGAAGGTAAATATATGACTAAGCAAGAGAAAAAAAGAACTAAAAATGTTGCTGAAATTGCATTCTGAACACCAGGAAAGAAACAGAGGTTCCTACGTATTTATACTGCAATTTGATGGGTGTTTAAATGATCTGTATCTCTCAATTATGCACACAACTGTTAGCTGAAATTAACACATTTATTTTAAGCAGAAATGAAAAATATGTATCTGACTGATAGTTACTATATAATGTCTCAGATTTCAAAGAAGTACTTAAAAAGATGATGTATTACTGTTCATCAATATGCACATTTTATTAGGTACTTTGCAGCATTTTTCCTACTCTATTTCCAATGATATTCCTGTAAACTTTAAACTTGCTTTCTTCTACTATATTTACAGCATTTTCCAAGAGAATTTTTTCTCAAGCACACTTTACTTATGTGAATTCTGGTAAAAGTGAATTTTAAAATTAAACGTGTTAATATTTTCCCTAAAATTGCTTACCTAATAAAAATACAAACTTCAAATTACAAATGTTATGCTTATCGAACTCAAAATGGGTTTTTATTGTTGATTAACAAAAATATAATGTAATCAAGGAAATAAATTACTAACAAGTGACTTTTGAAACTAACCAAAAGACTTACGTTTGGGATTTTTAAAACACCAACAATTTTTAATGAAAAAATTTGTGAATAATTTTAAATGATTATTTTGACCATTTGTGCAGTTTTTGCACGTGATGTGTGACTAGAAAGAGAAGATACTCATCAAATAGCATATTTAAATTGTATCTTCAGGACTCTGTGTGCCTACACACAGTTCTAAAAATTACAGCAAAATACAAAGTAACGGTTCAAAAAATATGAAGCAGCTTGCAAACATTAACAATTGAACACTATGCTGATGCACAAGTAATTCTAACACTATAAAAGCCTTATTGCTTATCCTGTATTATTTCCGCATCTCTTACGGCATATACAGTAACCAATAAAGGACAGCAAAGCACATAATAGTACCCACGAAACCTGAAGGATTTTTTGCTATCCATTTCAACAGGATCAGGCTCAGCATAAGGAAAGAGAAGACTCTCTGAGCCCCGAAAAAAAGACTGTGTCTGTTTTTAATTCTACATTTACAGAGCAGAGAATCTGCCCTGCTCCAAAGCCCACTGAAGTCAACAGCATTTCTACTGTCTCCAACAACTGTGAGAACGTGCCTTGTGAGAGTTGTTTTGTGCTGGAGACATGGAAATAATACAAGATACACAATAAGGACTTCTATAGTGTTAGAATTATTTGTGCGTCAGCAATGTTAGACTGTTAATGTTTGCAATGAAGCAATAAAAGGAAGCAGAAGAAGCAAAGCAAAAGTAATTTTCGTCACATCTGGAAAAGGGACACTGAAAACTTAGGTTGTTAAGGTTTCCAAATGTCTCAAATGCACCCTAAGTTTCTGCATTCCCCAATGACCCGTTAAGACCATCTTCTCCCTTACACAGTACTTGTAGCCCTGGTACCTGGTTGATGAGCAGTAGGTTCAAAACCTAACAAGCACGCTCACCCCTAACTACCCTCATGCCTCTGAAAGCTGAACTGGGAAGTATCTCATACTGAGACTAAGGCAATGAATGCCTGGGAGGGCACTGACTGCTGCATCCTTACAACAGCTGCCCTGCTTCCCAGAACCTCTGTGTAGGGTCAGCTATAGCAGAAGTGGTCAACCCGCAACGTGATGGCCACAAGTGGCATGGCAAGCCTTTCTGTGTGGCGTGTAGAAGATTGAAGAGGAGACAGACAGTGCAGTGCCAACCAGGACAGGAAGCAGAAAGCAGAGCAACAGGTAGGCAAGAGGCACAGGGCAGGGAGCAGAAAGCAGGGCAGCAGATTGGGCAGGGGATGGGAGTGGCACTTGGGACATGTGTGGGGCTAAACAGTTGCCTGCCAGTGTTACACCATCCCCCGCCAGCATCCTAGGGCACCAAAGCCTGCTGAACTGGTGGAATATTGATCCCTCTGGATAGCAGCAGGAACTCTCTTCTCCAGAAGAGCCCTTCTCCCGCCAGGCAACTGGCCCTGTGCTAGCTTGCGTGCTAGATAAGCCAGCACAGGGCACTCAGGACATGGAGTAGCACCTCCATAGGGAGCACTATGGGGTTCAGCAGTCACCCCAAGGTGGATTAAATTCAGATCAATGTGATACCATTTTTTTTAATACAGAACTAGTGGCTTCTGGCTGTGATCTCCTTCAGGGGTGGTCTGAAGGGGGGATGTGGGGGTTGCTTTGAAGGGGGTGGTCTGGTCTGAGGGGGATGCTCTGAGGGGAGGGGGTGTTGTGAGGGGGGTGTTCTGGGTGTGCGAGTGCCCCCTCCATGCCCCTCTAGTGCAAGGGCACCATTGTGGGGCTTGGCTGACAGGTGTTGTCATGTGCCCCTGCCCGCCCTGTGCCAGGGTCACTGCCCCCTGTGAGGTGCCCTCCCTGTGTCCACTCTGGAG